TGGTGTTGGCGAGTGCGCGCACGCGTTTTATAGATCCACAATGATAAAATGATATTGTTTCGGTGATATGTTCATTTGCATGGCTTGCCAGGCAGATAATATACTTGATGGCTTAATTTACATTACTTGGAAATGTAGCTTTATTAGTATTAATTATTACATTCCTCTCCTACTTCCGAGTATGCTTGCTATAGAAAGAAGCGCTTCTGTCGCAAATATGCGTTAAGTTGCACTACACCGGAAGTCAAGCTATAACGGAAGTAATGGAAGCTGTAAGTGGATGATGCCGGCGGTGCCATATATACTGTGTATCTCTCTCTCTTTCTCTCTCTCTCTCTCTCTCTCTCTCTCTCTATATATATATATATATATATATTTATATGTTTACTTATGTACAGTGAAGTGATTCGCGCATATTCTCTCACGATCACAAAATACGGGCGATATATCACCACACGAACTGAAAAGTCATTGCGCGTAGCAAAGGCCACTTACTTAGCTTAAATGTAGTGCTAGATGCCACAATATCATGGGATGTCGTCCACGCCTGCCGCCTTCAAGCAACAAACACCTCTGTCTTGACAACAGCGGTCAAAGAACACAACGAGAATAAGCGAGACACTGTGTGCTTAACCAGTTGTGTACACAAACAGAGATGTAAGTCATGTATTAACACTGCAGCTAGATGATATATTGAAGAATATTCCTAAATTGTATTAACCTTATAAACAATTTCAACGTGAACGGGTATGGACATGAGCGCAAAACGATACACTACTTTGTTCCAAAATGGCACTAGAGGTATGAAAAGCATCCTCAGCGTTGGCTATGTAGCTGATGAAACCTACAATGATGCAAACAAGGGCTTGATAATATATTGAATTAGTAATACTGTTTATAAATTTGAGTCTGTCCGAAATAATACTGAACGTACGATGCGAATTGCACAGCGAGATCGAAAGAAACACAAAGACATGCTCAATGGCAATCGCACATTCATTTGTTACTCAATAATCTTATTCCGAACATGGGCTAAAAACTACCAAAACTCCGCGAATTGTTTCGTTGATTGATCTTTTGTTTGTCTGTCATTTAGAACTCTGGATAAACTGAGATATTATTGTCAACAAACGGCAAGCTGCGTTTATAAAGGTCACACAATTATATAGCAAATGAATATACGTCCCATGCAAAGGCTAAAAGATTGTAGCCAACTAGTTTCAGTGTGCGACCTTAGCACTACTCAAAGAGTTACTAGCTAACACTAGATCTAACATGAATGGTGAGACAGAAAGACGCATGCCTGTGTACTAGCCACCACGAATAGGACAATACCTATGTTCTATGGAAGCAACTAATACAGTTAGTCAATTTTCCTTCCTGCCGTACAGATTATCCCAATTTGCTTGAATTTTTGTAGGCTGTAAAACATTGCCTTGACATATCATTCATTTGCCTAAAACTGCCTTCTACTACGACACATATGAAAGGCAGCAGTAGACGACACTCCCAATTGATATGCTGCTACAATTGCCACTGATAGTCGATTGTTGTTGTGTTTATAAAGTATGATGATGACAACGACGGCATGACACGTGCTGTCTATCTTCTTTCTACATATCAGTTTGTTTCTCGATGCTTGGTTACTGCTTCCGTAAGCGTGATCACATTGGGCTCGCGGGGTTTGCCTGACGCCTCTCAGATGAAAACTACGGTTGTGGTTATTCATTAAACGTATTAAACATTGAGAGTTCTTCGAACGAAGCACCAGGCCCTCCTTGGTCGAGCATCTGCAACATATCCGACAACTCCTGTCCCTGCGGCTGACCCCCACCTGCATTAGGAACTGGCCCTGGTGCTTGCTGGTGGGTCTGCGGATGGCTTTGGGAATGTGAGTCGGGAGTCGAAGATCCACCGGCACCCGCGGCCGCAGCAGAGGCAGGGGTTGTCTGCTGCCATTGGCTCCAAACTCCTGCAACCAGGTTAGGACGATATACGTATTTACAATAACAACGATAACGATAGAAGTGTTCAGAAAATCCAAATAAATATTTTTAGCAGCGCAGTCCTTTAATCGAATGTGTCCTACCTCTGGAAGGCGCTGTCGACGGCGCAAGCTGTGTGTATGTGGGCTGGCCACCTGGAGCTGTTTGCTGGGCCCCACCAGGAGAGTTCGTCTGCTGTGTAGTCTGTTGCGTTGTTTGCTGGCTGGGCGACAGTGCCCCATGTGTTCCATAACCACCCGGTGTACCTGGATGAGGGGACATTTGACCGCCCGCCACACCAGCTCCTGTTGCTGCTCCGCCTCCAGGCGTTGCACTATTGTTATTAGCCTGTTGGCCTCCCGATGCCGCCACGTTGTTATTCCTATTATTGTTATATTCGGACGGCTGCACCACACCAACGGGGGGGCCAGCTGGTGTGGTGCCCGGAGCTCCCGCATAAGAGTAAGCTGGTCCGGAAGGCGGTCGTGTTGGTGTTAAACCAGGAACACCGCCGACAGGTAAACGCATAATTGAAGGGTACGCTGTGCCTGCGCCACCTAGTCCGGTCGAATAGTCGGGTGGGGCTCCTTCACTTTTTAGCAGGCCTGCTCCAACAGTCGCATAGCCTCCGGGTTGCTCGCTTGCATTGCTGTTTGCCACGTCCGTCGCATCATGACCATGCAGCGTTCTATGCATACAACATCGGCATTAATGCAAAGGTACTATAGTCGTGGACGGAGTCATATAGCTTAGACCAAAAACGAATTTAGGTTTATAGTTCTGTTTCAAATTTCGACACCGTTATTGAGCACTAACGTGAAAAACTTTCGAAACTTGGAAATTTTTACTTTGACTTCATATACAGAGTGGGATGGGCAATCCCAGAACACAGTAGTGTCACGGTGGACAATATTTTAATAGTCTGTATACATTCCATTAGATCTACGTTTACCTTGTTATTATTTGTGATGTTTACATTTTTAGTCCACTTACGACACTTTAGTTCATTAGTCACTGACTGGTTTTGAACGCGAGTCGTGGCGTATCGATGAAAGTGGTGGAGCAAAAGCCATTACATAAATTAAGCAGGTGTTTGTTTTTTTTAGATGTACTTCATTTTTTCTTTATGTAAGCCACTCTTCTATACGATTCTATCCACTTGTTGAATAATTGTAACAGGAAATATAGTTCAATTACTTACTTGGCAGCAGTATTCGTGCAGACGATGTACTCGACATCGCTAGTGTACGGGTTCAGAAAAGCAAAGGCAGAGCTACGTAGCCATACCCATTCTCCAGCAGCCACCTGGCGAAGCGGAGGAACGGGGCCGCCGACTTGTTTAGCGCGGATGCGAAACATTACCGAGACCGGTTGGCCCTTTAATTTAAGCACCTACAAAATAACAGTAACACAGGCATTAACTGCAAATAATGTTTTCACATGATCTTTCGTTTAGTTTTTTGTTTAGTTGAAATACATTTTACTGTTAAAACACTTAACTATTATGTATGTTTGACTCCATACTTTTACACGTTACCTGGTCAAAGCTATCTTTCATGTGTGCTTGATCTTCAGGATGAAAAAGATCAAAACAGGTCTTGGCAAGCAGTTCCTGCGGTTGATAACCGAGCACTCCACTCACGCGCTGATCAACAAACGTGAACTTCCCATCGACCGCGTGGCGGGATACAAACTCATTTGCGCATTGTGAACCTAGAAGATCGCCGTTGTTTGGGGTTGATGTTACCTAAAATAATGACATTTAAAGTGAATGTGATTAATTGCTTATATAGACGCATACAAAATCTGTTTGTACGTTCAAATGCACGTACCTGCAGGCGGCCGATGGCGACTAAGCAACAATGGGAAGGGCCACCACCTAAATCTTCGTGGGTGACTCGATCTGAAACAAATACCGATTGTTTAGTTTCTTTGCCTTTTACCAAAGGGATTTGCTTTATATAAAATTGGGATAATTGCAATACTCACTTGCTGATGGAGGCCAGTTCTTTATGTATCCGGTGCAATGTACGACAGCATAATGTACGTTTCCGGGGCCAGGTGCTTCACCAGGACCTCCTCCTCCTCGAAGTCCCCTTTGCGGTCGTAGCTGCTCGTGAGCAGAACTCGTCAGCGGGGAGTCCCCCACCTGAAAATGGGATAGAATTGTACTTTATGTATGAGTAGATAACCCGAAATCAGCGAAAAATAGAACAGTTATGAATTGCGATAATACGTCCTAGCGTAAAATTTATGATATTCATGCTGAATATACTATATATATATATAATTTTGTCACTCATTTTAAATATCACTGAAATTTCCGTTATGACAATACAGGTCTCTTTGGCTACGATCACTTTGAAATCACTTTGCAAAAAGCGAAGATTACATATAGAGGCGATGTAACTGACCTTCATACGACAGATAAACCCTCTCCGTGATCCCATACAGAGTCTCATGGAGGACTGATGCCCCTCCTTTTTAACAGTACCGGTTTTCAGATCTAAGATACGCCCGGGATTCGAGCTATCTTGGGTAGCTAATTGCTCGCGAATCTAAACAAAAAGAGCACATATGAAGTTACACGGCCAATGCATATAGCACAGGTTTATCATATCTCGATTCTACATGAACGTCAAAATTCAAGCTCTCACCTTCTCGACGTCATCTGGATGTACTAGATCATATAAACACGTGTTAAACCAGTCGGCCTGTGCGTGGCCGAGCACAGGTCCTACCGAGTCCGATACGTAGACGACGCGCCCCGTGTCGCAGGAGACCACAAACAGAAATCCGTCGGCGGCCTCAAGGATCAAATGTTTAAGTTCTTGATCTGTCAGGAACGACGGTTTGTATGTGCCGTCGCTCGAGGTGTTACCCGTTCCTACAAAGTCAGAGTCAATTTCGCACGGATTTATCGCACGGTGATTTGTTTTGATATTTGTAGAGGGTCAGTTAATACCATAAAGACGCCAAATACTTATTATAAAGCCGCGTTTTTACTCAAAGTTTTTTCCATTTCTTTTTACCTTGTAAATTTTTCATGTGGGCCACAGCCATTCGAAGGATGGTCAGCTTGTCGGGTTTCCTTGCTAGCGCGCTACACGTCGGCACCATATCGGACAACTCGGTAATATATGCAGTCATTTTATTCCGGCGTCGCCGTTCAATTTCGCTGTGATTTTCTTTTTTCGCCGAGAGAGTCTCCATAAGGTCACCAGCACCTCCAGAACCCTCGGAACCTGTTCCGCCGCCTCCACGACCACCCAATCCTGCTACTCCCCCGAGGGGGCCTCCAACACCTCCCGGGGCATGTCCCGAAAGGCCTCCTGTCCCTAATACACCCTCACCAGCACCATCCCATAAACTACCCACTCCTGCCGTCTGACTCAATCTGTAAGAAAATGTTACGAGGATCTAATAAGTCTTTGTCCGTAGTACATATGAAAGTCAGTCTTCAACATTTAAACGATATCCCAACTTTTGAAATAACCACTTATACGTTCGTTTGATTCTGCATGTCGCACCTTGCGTAGCGAGTGTCCTTGCTATGATGTTCATGCATCGAATCTTCGTCCATTTCTTTTCCGGTAGCTGCCAATAGCTTGACAACGACCTTCTCCTTACAAACGGTCGCGCACTCTTCATACGAGATCCACCTGCAACATAGAACGATGCCAATAAGCTCGAATAAAAAAAGCACGTAGTTCTGCAAGTGAGAAAATTTAAAATATAAGTAAGCAGTTTTTATAGGATCTCTATCCGAAGGAGCTCTTCGGAGTAGTCATTACCCTGTATCCGTCAATTTAGGCTGTTTAGATTATATATTTTGCTGTGGCAGGCTAAGTCAAGCTTCGTGTTGTTTGCGGCACGTGTACGAAAAATTTAATGAAAAGCGATAGACGATGAAAACATGAATAAACAACAAAACAGGAGTTTTTAGGGAGTATGGAAAGCAGGTTATTCCTATACTGAATAGCCAGAAGTTCCACACATTTAGAAATAACGACCAAAAGATGAAAAAAACGAAATCGTATCAACCTGTTTGCAGAAACGAAAAGAGTTGGCCGGAGTTTTCACATAAAGAATAACTTACGTAAAATGAGCTGTCTCTATTGTCTACTTTTTTCACTTTAGGAAGAGTATGAATATGATGATGACTTGTGAGTTCACGTTTCTGATGAATGTGGAGGCTAATACGAATTTATAGGTTATGCCTGATGCTGGACAATGGAGCCAAAAAGAAACTGGTGCAATGCAATATCGTATTTGGGTCCAATAGCGGATGTCGGTTTCTCGTCTTTTTTCTAAGTAAACCGTTTGCCTTAGTGGCTTTTTTCCGAGTATGTTTTGTACGCATAATCAGCACATGCTCCTTCTCAAGATGAACGTTCCAACTAATAAATACTGAACGCACTGACATGTCTTTCTTGGATTATAAAAAATAAGAGCTGATTAGGTTCATTGGGTGTCATAATACGCAACAACAGTAGTTCATGTGCAAAGACCATATTTAATAAGCATCAATATGAATATATTAATTTTTGAGTTCGCAGGTGCGTGCAGTATGATTGTTTTATATACACTTGTGGCCACCTAACGTTGTAAAATGACGCATTAACCATATTTATAAAATTGAAAGTAGACATCGATACCGATTCTAATGATCCTAATTATTAAAATCGATTTGCGGGGCTTAGAATGGAACTATTCGCTTTTCTTCTAGGGCTATACTTTACGAAAAATAATAACCAAGTTACTATTAATGAGTAATATAAAAGTAATAATTAAAACTGCTCGCTCATAAGCTGACAAGCAGCAGTAATGAGGTGGTTAAACTGGAACACACTATGATTAGAAATAATTACGAATGCTCCTATTCCCATTAGCCGCCTGAATCGGCTGATTCATGCCTACAACGGTAAAACTTCGTGCATGATTCAAAACTCAATCAAGAAGGGCTTTGTGATTCACATAAGCCGTGAAACAAGTTTTATCCTTGCAAGTCTCCCCTTGCAACGCCATATCATTAATAACAACCAGAAGCGTCCAAACCAGCGTCGCTATTAAGCTAATATTCAGAATTCATACTGAGCACGACTTACTAATTACGATGTCCTCATATGCCTATAATAACTATAGAGCATTCCATTAATCTAGATTCAACAGGCGCACACGGTTATATCGTTCTCTCCTACGTTATCTGCAAATATTATTTAGAAGAAAAACGCGCGCTTTGACAAGATCATTGATCATTGAACACACCTTGAAGACACGTAGACACCTCGCAAATACGACCACCACTCGATACGAAAATCCTCAAAACATCAATTTTGAAGATGGGATTAGGTACAGAGAAATAAAAAATGTTTTCGCTCGTGAAAATCCGTAATTGGCAGACTGCTTGTCCAAAAATAAAACATACTAAGAACGAATCAATTTTATTATGACACACGCTATAGAGAAAGTACGCACACGGTTAAAACCTGGTCAATGCTAACTTATTCATTAACAGTACAGGATTTTCTCTGCGTTAGATTGTAGAGGCAGTATAGGAATTTTTATTTTAAAAATAAAATTCACTATGCATTCTACTTACCATGCACTTTTCCGTGCTGGGTGCCGTTGTTGTTGTTGTTGTCGCCCTTGTTCCCGCTTCGTGTCAACTAAGTAACACAGCTCTCCCCGGAAAAATACTCGGCGCCTGTGTTAGGGCCAGAGGTGTTGACAGGGATTGGATACGATCGCTGACAGGAACTAGTTGTCAGGACGAAGCTCAACTAATGATAAAATGACTAATACGTTCTCCCGAATCTAGATTGATTCCCATCATTTTGTCGAACGACGGGCCTTGACCATGTTCCAACCATTTGCGATTATCGGCCCTCCGTTGACTGTTTTGCTATTGGAAAACACTTTCCCTAAAATCAAATTCCCAACAAGCGCCTGTAGGTTAACTGTTATCAATCAACAGCACCTGATTTATCGTGGCAGCCATGGCTATAGCGTTTGCTCATAATATGATATACAGTGCTCAGAAAAGAAATTCCACCCTTCGGTCCGATATCAGTGAAAACTGGTCGATATCAGTGAAAATCCTTTAGCGAGGTTCGCGTTTGTGTTATTTAATCAAACGATTATGAGCTTTCCACCAAGTCACAGTGTTCACCGCAAAAATGTTTTGAGGTTGCAGTTGATCTTACAAATGCGGATCCAGGAGTTAGTTTTCCATTGATTGAATTATGTTGGCTATCTTAGATCGTGTAAGACCTATCTTAGACTGTGCGCTTGAAATAAGCAGAACATGCAGTCTACGGCCCTTTCGATATTTGCTATTTTGAACGAATAAGAGAAGAAGACAGAGCGGTGCTCTTTCCTGAAGCTGTACCGTTTGTTTTGCGCTTAACCAGGCCAGCGCACTGCGTTGCGGTCCAGCTGAGGAAGTCTTCGAGTTTACTACGGTGTTATATTGCAGTTGCATCCGCTCACTATTGGTTGGAGCCAGCCAGGATCATGACAAAACAGGTGCACAAGTATGGGCTGCTGCGAGGTATTATCTTTGCTAATCCGGGCAGTAAACGAACAAGAATTTCTAGAAGAAGGCAACGCACCGTATAATAATTCCTTTGATGTCTTGTCGATTCACACATACACACAGTTCAGAAGACGATCACGTCAACATGGCTCCTTCAGGGCCTGCCTGTCACATAGTAGTTCTACCTAGAGGTTTTGCTTTTTGTGTTTATTACGTCAACACTTAATCATCGTAGTGGCGGTATGGATCCTCGAAAAACAACGCGAAATCAACAGTGCTAGAAAAATCTTGCTGTCATAATAATCGCTTGCATTTCCTTTGTGTTATGTTTCGTTCGGTGTTTTTTTAGTGGCAGCACAATCAGTGCAATGCATTCGTAGCTGTTTTCCTAGAAGGACAGAATGCTATAGCGTCTCCTGTCTTTCAGGAAGTACATCACAACGATACATAAAGCATACGATTTTCATTCAACACAGTAATTGCTGACCAACAGCGACGCACCGCGGCAAATAGTCAACTATTGTGTATATGAACAAGCCGCAGGAGGCGCAGTAGCAGCGGTAATAGCGGCTGCAGCGGCAGCAGAGCGCCACGATAGACACACAGACGTAGCGTGAACAAGCAAGATGGCGGGCGGACGGGCGGGCGGGTGTACGGACGGAGGGCCAACAACGATGGACAAAAGCCGTAAACTCACAGCCTAGCCTGGGCTGTGAGTGGGAACTAGGGTGCAGCTTCACAGCAGTGCAGTTGCAGCTTCACAGTAGTGCACGACTCTTCTGAAACCACACCAAAACATCAGTGGTAAAGCAGCAGACAACGTCACTGTTACAACGGAGGCAACAGCCCTGACGAAGCGGCTGTAGGATAACAATGCCATCGGACCGCATCAGATCTGAGCAGACGACAGCCCAGATAGACCCTCGCATGTTATAGCTCTGAGCTCGCGGCGGACACCAGTCTGACAGAGCCCAAAGGTGTTCAAATCCTTTTGCAGAATAGACTTTCTAACTGTAATGGAATGCATCTTGGCATTCTATCTAAGTTTTTCCTATAACATAAAAAATAAAGTTTATATCTATATATAATTATTTACGTTCAAAGCCCGTCTGTTAAGTCTAGGGAGGAATATCGTTATTTGAATCATTATCATATGTGATACGCTATACGGGGCTCACGATATGCTACTATGGATGAAGATGAATATCAAGGCTGTTGGTACACACTTACTAGGCATTTAAAAACTAACGTTTTAAAGATGCAACTCACTTGAAACGTAGTCTTGCTGATGCGCATGGACCTGACTGCCACTGCAGCAGGATTGGTGAAATTTCTAGAAACTTCTTCATTACGAATACAACAACTTGGTTCTTATCCACGATGGCATGGCTCATGAGGGACACCTCCAAGCTTGAGAAGAGGTTTTCTTATCTTGTGAGACGAGAACGGCAGCGATGATTGAGGCTTCAGTTGCAAGCAAGCTGTGTTGGCGCAGAGCTTGCTCAAAATAGCTAGCTCCTAAGATCCATAGCAAAAGTATCACTATCTTACCGTAAGGATTAATTTAGATCGCCGTTGTATACCACTGAGTAAATCCGGGAAATCTATCATTAGGTTCTTGGCGGAGCCAGATGGAGAATCTGCGGTGGTTTACCATGGAAAATAACAAAACTGCCGTGTGCGCAGAATCCAGGGGCAGCATAGTCGTTGAATTCTTCCATATAGAAAAGCTCGTTATGCGTTTGAACAGCAACGTTGAAGTTTTTAGAGTTTTTGTTCGTGGATTAGGGTGATTTGAATAAGACAAATCGTTCAATTGTAAATGTTTCCTACATTACTGCTTTTGTAAACACGAATTTCCGTCGATTCGTCGATTTGCTGGTCAAATACTATTATCTTTTTCCATACTGCTGACAACTATGCTGCCTATGCTTCACGATATGTTTCCAGCATTGTCGTGGAGCCTGTTGTCAGTTGTTGTTGTTGGTTATCAAGTACTCGCATTGGATCCTTAGCAAGCCTTTCAGGAACAATTTGAATGAAATTGTTGGTGTGAACGCAGAGGCGCATAGATTTCCAGTGAAAGACATCAGATTATTTACCTTATTTAGATATTTCTAGTGCACGTCAAAAACTTGATATTATTAAGACCTAATAAAAAGTTTGTACTATTTACAGCGCACGCAGTATATCCCTTTATCAAATAATTTAGCAAATAAGTATTCAGTAACTGACAAAGCCAAATAGAATCAGCCAATATGTGTCGATTGAAGCGAGACAAACTTTACAATATGTTTTTATCGCACATCGAGAAACTGTTCCATTTAATAAGTTTGTCAAATTTGTCCATTCCTTCCCGGGTAACACAATCCTCTACGAATACGAAATTAAAGTGGACTAGGCGAATTAACTTCGCACTTCTGCAACAAATAACTAAACTAAGGAGTTTTTAAACCATTGTTAAATAAATGAAGGCCAAGGTGCTGATTGTTTGACTACGAAAGTTAAGCAAGGCTACACAGATAACTGCGGCGATTTACGTGGGACTGCAATAGTAACTGCTGGTAACTGAGACAAAAGGAGGTTTATTATCGAGAAAGAGTAGATTTCTATTGTAAGTAAAAATGTAAACTGTATACCAACTTTATTTCCACCTAGAAGCAGACTTTCATCTTAACTGTAAACCTACTTTTGTGCCACCCCCTTCGCCACTGCCCCTGAGCTGGCGGGGTCGGGTTGTTCAATTGATAGCTTCGTTAAACAACGACTATCGGCTGCGCTTGAATATCCTGTGCCTGACTACTAAAATACTGCTGCCCACGGATCTCGGATCGACACACAAAAAGCAAACTGTTACTTATCTAGTATTCGACTGCGCTTCGCGAATGTTTCAATTTACTATATGTTGGTTACATGAAACAAAGATGGTCGTAGCTTTTATGGTCAGTCATTTTGACTACTGCTTTGACAAAACTAGGGCATCTGTATGAAGAGTCGTCTCGAAATTAATCTAACGTTGTGTTCTTCTGGTATTCTTCAACCCCCTATAATCTTCACAGGTAGTCGGATACCATAGACAAACACAAAAGCAAGCTGATTTCGACGGGTAGAAAGTTGAATTCGGTTTGTTCGGATTGGTCTCACCCATCATGTGTAGAGTCCTTGCACCAAACCCCAATAGCCCCTTTAAGTCCTCATAGTGCAACGTCTGCAAACGCAGTCCAACAGATACCCCTTCACTTTATCTTCTGCTACACAATAAACCCCGCAGTCATAGGGTTCATGTAATAGAGGAAAGCAAGGAACTACAACCCTTGCCAGCCGGAACATACAACGAAAACTGGATTCCGTTATCTGTCCAACGGACCAATAGAGCGACACGGTAAATGAAAGACTTAGGCAGCAAATGAAACGGATAGTTCTGCGTGTTTTAAAGCAGTTCGTTTACTGATGAAGATGTACCCTGAAATGCCTCCGTCTGTGTGTCTCTGTGCGTGAGTGTGTGGTTGTTGTGTGTGTGTCTGTATGCGCTTTTGTGTTTCGCGATTGTTATAGAAACACTTGCTTGACAAGAAGACCGTCATGCAAAACGACGGAACGACATGTCATTAGAATGTGTAGCTGGAAATTACTGGATTGGTTCGATTGCCAGCTATAAGGGAAATTTTCTATTCTAGTACTAGCATACCATTATAGATGTTAATTGTTTCCTTCTTCTCAGTCCCGTGGACTGTATTTCTGAAAACCCTATTTCGAAGAGTGTTTGTTCCTAAATGTTTTTTAACTTTTATTATACAATTGTATTTTAGTATAAACTGGTTAGCGAAAGGTTCTAAGAGACCTATTTAATGAATTGATATTTTGTCTATACAGTCTAACGGTATGTGTTTTTACATGGATCATCTAAGCTAGTGTTTATCTATTGCTATCTTTTTAGTACTTTCAATATGTAGTTTGAAAATCATCGATGTACTATGCAATACAGATTTCTATTGTGACGAACTTTATGGTTTCCTGCGGCTGTTGACAGAAGAGCAACTGAGAGCTTGCATGTCATACATGCAGCATATGTTGTCATAGCCTTGTATTGTGTGCTGAACCTTTTCGTAATATGATAGTGGATTTCTTTTAAGAACTGTGGTCTTTGCATAGGGCAGGATTTTTGTCATCTACAAACTATTATGTACGGTAAATGCCCGCAGCTGTTTAACTACAAACGTTTTTCTTTTTTTCATTCTCGAGACTTTTGTGAACGTTGTTTTCCAGCCCATCTATCAAATGGCACTAAGCATACCAGACCAAAAAATGCCGTGAAAAAGCTCATTGAGCGGCTTAAAACCTTGACAAAAAATGCCTGCCAAACACGGCACTGTTCGAATATTTGCTAGCTACCAAACATGCGATAGAAAGCTATTCAATATTATAGAGGACATTTACCAATTGAGTAGGCATCAAATATAGGTTATGGTCACATATTAGTATCTTCTGTCTGATCGCTATCTGATGACTTCTTAACAAACCTTTACTGATTCTAAAGATACAATTGCAATTATTAGTGTAGTTATTATTGCCGTAATGGCAGCATTGGCAGGAGATAATCATGACTCACAAACATGCAGTCCAGAATTCCAGCGGAAATTCAATGACTGTTTTTAACTATTTTAGTTAAATAAACTAGCTGATCATATTGTTATGTTTGGTCAGCGTGAATAGCCGAACACTCCCCCGTTAACACTCTCAGGGCATACTAAATTCATCACATTTGTTGTTCTCATATTATTTGGTGATTATAAGGAATTGGAAGCAAATAAAAACAAAAATAAATTTCTTTATGAGAAAAAGAGACTGTTCAGCTGTGGAGAGAAGATGAACATTTTGAAGTCTACCCTATTTCGGCATTGTATTGCTTTTTATATTGTCCTTTTCGTATGGTATGAGAGTGTTGAACATAAGTTTAAAGTAATCTGTAATTCTACATGTACCCTATTTGGCGTCACGATGTAAAAAATGCAGCAGCTTTGGAGTTAAAAAGCTGGGAGTTAAAACAATTCAAAATACCATCCGATCCAACTTGCATGAACTTTTTCGACTTTAATCTATTTTAATTAATATTTTTTTAATTTCATTTAATTAATAATAACCATAGGTGGGTTAAATACCTCTCGTGTAATGATGTTTGACGTTCGACCAGTGGCGATTGCTAACCAGTGATTGTGTTTCTACTCCATATTGATGGAACTGCTGTGTTTCGGTAACCAAAGTGCTTCTCGTGTTTTACGTGCTGTACTTGAGCTGTTAAACATTGCTTCAGACGATTGGCTTCGAGCACGAAATGAAGTGTAACTACGCCCAAATCCGAATCTTGATCATCACGTGCCTTTAAGCTTATTAGGCCAGGACTTTACCTATTGCGCTACGACACAAATTTGTTTCGATGGCTACGGCAAGAGTTACTTATCAGCAGTTCAAAATGCCACATCATCCATGTCAACAGCTCGTGTGCCCGTATCTGAACAAGCTGCATATATTATAAGCATCGCATTGAGGCTATTTTTTTAGTTCGTAGTTAAGATACAGTGAAGATTAGTAACTGTGAATTTTTACGTGTATAATGTCACAAAAGTAGAATATTATGGCTATTCAACCGTAGCTTACGCACATATATATTGTACATTTTAAACTATCATTAACGGCGTTGAAGAGAAATTGTGAAACCGGCTGTTTACCACTTCTAATATCAGGTTAATTATCATAGGAATTATATGTACATATATTCGTAATGAGAGCCGATGTAGTAGTATACGAGAAAGAACGCATATGACATCAAGTAGTGAGCTCTGCATTTCATTCAAATGGTACTCAGATGCTTTCGAAAATGGCACCGAGTTGATACGGCATACTACCAAAAAACGAAAAACCTTTGATTTTTGGTAGTATTTGACCTTTGGTATTTTAGTACCTTACGTATATTAGTTATCTAAGCTATTGCCCAAAGCACTAAGGTGTTTGCGATGCTTACGGATTGTTTAGGTAGCTTATGTATCTAATTGAATTCGGTTTATCCCAAGAGGTACTTAAATTGAGCACGTTAACTTAAATAGCATTTGTAACGAATAATTCTTGTTTGCAGCAGAAGATGCCGTGATGCAGGTGCAAAAACAAATCGTCTCCCTAATAAGGCGCAGATGCAAGTTGGGCGTCGAAGGGGGCGTAATTTATCCTGTACCTGCGGTAAGTAAAATTGTGCAGGCACATGATGAAAATAAGGAGCACGCCGCCATAGTTGGTTTTTTGACATTAGCCTGTCTATCGTGCAGCAGTAAGAAAAGCGACGTTTTCGTCAAATGTTCCAATCGCGGCAACAATTGGAATAACACTGCGAATCGCGTCGGCCTTGACTGCTATGGTAAATTTCTGCGTAACGCTGGAGATACTTAAGGAGCAAAATTTATAGCTGCACACTTTTCGTAGATCGCCATAGCGCAGGTGAATGCTTTCTCAGCTCGGCGGAGATCCGGTTGTTCGGCTGTCCACGTGAGATGCAACGACGATCGACCAGCTCAACGCCGGGAGGCGTTCACCAGCCTCAACAACAGTCGTCACATATGCATGGCGGTGTTTGTTCTAATGATGACCTTCTTGCCAATCTGCACCTATCTGAAGTGATTAACGCACAAGGCCAAAGCCAAGATCATCAACACGGCACCGCCAGCCCTCAGGGCCGCCATCATCGACAACCATGTCCCTCATTATCGCAAAAGCAACAAAGGGCAGTCGCAAATCAACAACAACAACCACAGCAGCATAATTTTCCGCAAACGACGACTGGAGCTGGTAATTTCTTGCTTTTTTTGCCTTCCTTGTGCCTGTAATATGTGTGTATCTAAAATATATGCTCAGTAAAAGGTCAGATCAAAAAAATTGTTGTGACATAGTGCTATCCTGAATGTCCATAGGCGTCAAGTTGAAAGTATTTACTCGAGATTTTATGGGAAATGTATTGAGTCTGAGCAATAGAACACGTGTGTTTCAAAATTTAAAAGTGTTTAAGTTATCTGCAACTCATGCTTACTCAATGGTTTCAAGCTTTGAGAAAATCTTAATGTTTACTCAGGTCTGTATTTTCCTCTATGTATATTTAAATTAATTTGATCTTATGAAAATATTGATAGGTCCTGCCGAACCACGAAGTAGCCCACGTGGCGTTATAGGGGAGCCTCTCCGAAGCGATACACAGCCTGGAAGCGAACCGTGTGGCGCCATGAACGAATCCAGTGGACAACTGCATAGGGAGTACCAACAAGAACAGGTGCAGTAGTGAATAACCAGGATATATGCATACCCTCAAATTTAAGTTTTTTTAAGGGGAGTCTCCCTTGGCTATTTAGCAAGTCGAAAGTAGTTGTTGTAGCTTCGTCGTTGTTTACAGTCATTTATGTTTCCCGTTTGGCAATAATGGACCATGAGCTAGACGATAATTTGTCTAAGTTAAAGTTAATGTGTTGACAGCCTTGAATTTACTACAACCAACTGATTAGTTTATGTACTAACGAAGTGTTGATTCACTTTATCCATCATCATGCAATTCATGATAGTAATCAATGAATGGCAAGATCCAAATATGTCTGTATTATTTTTCATTGGTGTTTCACGTGCGGTAGCTAAATTGTTAGGCATTACTTCAGACGACTGGCTCCCAGCACATAACGCAGTCTACGCCCGGATATGAATCTAATCCATCCTGTATTTTTAAATGTACCAGGCAAATATGGGAACGAGAGGTCAAAATGCGCACTCTAGTAACGCTTTCGCCTATTAGTATCCGTAGCCTTCAAGTATTATAAAAAATTAAAAATACAGCCCTATTTTTTATCTATTTTTCTAACTATTTTTCTATTTTTAAATCCTTTTTTTGAATAAGGCATACAATAGTAGTTGCCCGAAAAAATTCTGGAACACGTCTTTACCACTTTATCTATTTTTCTTCGTCGAGCGATCTTTGAAAAATCTACGAGAGTAGTGTGCATATTGACAGTCCAAGATTCTTCATTACGTTTGGCGTTTCACCTGTTTTCGATTGTAGTTTCTTTGGAAGGTGCCAAGTGTTTAGTGGATAGAAATTTACATCATGTACAACAATTAGAAAAGGTCCTTCTGAGAAGGCAGATAGACTCCTTTGGTTTTTTTGTTGAATTTCGTCGATTGTCAAATAGATCTCTTCAAAAAACTTCTTCAGAGTTTCGACTTTCTCTTTGTAAACTGTTCGACAGAATACGTTTAAAAAGTTTTTTTTTACTTCGATTCCTGCGAAACATAGTCGTAGACTCTTTTATAATCCTTAGTAGCAGGCTGTTTTTGAGCTCAATGTAATATTGTAATTTGCCCAGAGATAGGAAGCATATAGGTTATCCTCACTGGCATGGATCTCTTCATTGGACCCTGCAGATATGCTGTTTGCAAACTATACATTTGATTTAAATTCGCGCAATTATTGAAAAATTAGTGTTAGCTTGTCTAGGCTTTATTTAATTGTGGTAAAGTTTTCCCTTCGGTAATCTAGGGCATGGGTTAGATAGGTATTCAGCAGAACCACTTGGGATCCAGTCTTAAAAACTAATAGTCTAACCTTAGAAAATCTGGTAGAACCTTTACTTTAAAGCCTGAGGTTTCTTGAGGCATTTCTTCAGTTGTTCAAAACCTCTGAATATTCCCACTCTATTTGGGGTCATCTAATATTAAGTTTGTGAGCTGCGGATCCATCAATCCGCGCATCTTCTAGGTTAACCTTTTCATTATTCACAGGTTCCTGGGTTGGCCTTGTCGACAAGAGGTAGATCAATATCAACTGTATCAGTCTATCGGGAAAGGTAATATTGCAAGCGACCACCTCAGATAAGCGGTTCCCTGATATCTGTACGAAGAAATTCTTTTTTAAATCGAACATCCTTCCACCGTGAAAGGACATGTTTTTTTTCTGTGCACTTTTAAGTTACTTCAATCGCTTAATTTTCCGAACCTTACACTGCTGCCGGAAAGTCGTTTACTAATACTTTGTCTCGTAGTAGCGCAGTGGATAACAAGTTTATCTGATACACCGAGGGACACGTAGTCGCCTAGGTTTAAATCCGGACGTAGACACATTCTTTGTGTGTTAGACGCGTTCTGTGCTAGGAACCAGCTACATGGAGTAGTGCCCAACGACTTCAGTACCTGACGTCAGAAATCCGGAAAATATTACTAGCACTGCAGCAGCTTCTTTCCAAACGGCCGTTGACGTTATTTAGGGCTTCCACCTGTTATACTGATCGATCGTTTATTTTTGTGACATCTTCATTCCGTCGCTTTCTTGCCGAATATTTTTCCTTGTTTTCCTAAGCTAAGGATTGTTTTAACAATGGTACTGCGATCAGCTGTTTTCTCAGTCACTTCTTCATGCATCTCATTCTTTCAGCTTTTTAAAGAACTGCAATTTCACGTAATTCACTTACGAATCCCCTCTTAGATCCGCAGACTTTAATATGCTGTAGTGCAGATGAACCGAACTGCTGCAGATAGCACACTTCACACTTGCGATCTCATATAGCACTGCATTGTTTTCAATCCAGTTTATACAGATACGTTGTACTTGCTAAGCTTCTGTGCCGTGTGCGGTGTAGAATTTTGTCGGATGTATCAGTAGTGTTGCCTGGTTGTCCGAAAATGTAGCCTAGATTTTTTGTTGCTTATCTCCGCACCTAAAAGCGAAGAACGCTGAAAATACATATTATAGATTCAGTTTCTTATTTGTAATACCGTATTCGGGAATTTTAAACAATTTACAAAGGCTTTAGAAAATGTATCATACAATTAATGAAAACCGATGTCACTGATACAGTCGAGCCGCTTAGCAAACATTTTCTTAAAATCTGCGTTCAATGACACGAAAACTATGTTGTTTTCGAATTTCCATTTCATACTGTAGATGAAGAAAAGTATATTTATTATATAGAAAGGATCAGCATTTCACTATAGAGAAGAGGCGATTATGTATTTCGACAGAATGGAAACCCTATGATTCTATGAAAGCCAATACGCATTTGCATGAGTTCGTGATAGTTAGGCGGGTGCATCTCACGTCAGTTCAATTGCCAGCAGGTAAACACTGTATTTCAGCTGGGGTATTGAACTCGGCCTTTCGCTTCAAGCTTATCTTACCGATATTTCTTGTTCAATATGTGCTCTTTTGTGAAAAGAAATCCAATAATTGCTAGTTTGCACTCGGACATATGGCAAATGTCTACAGAACATATTTGAAATGGAAAAAGATTCATATACTCGTTTTAGGTAAGCGTAAAATATGGCGAGTTGGTATTGCTGGGGTACAATGGAAGCTTACCTGATGGAGCTGAAAAAGGTCGCCGGCGCAGTAAATATGTTTTGAGCCGCCGGTCTGAATCTAACGGAGTGCGGGCCGCACGCCACGTGTCTGCCGCAGATCCGGCCGCTTCGGCGGCGGTCCTTGACGCATTACAACATTCCATCGCCTATACTTTGTCAAGACACCAGGTTCGCATCTCAAATTCATCGCCTTCATGGTCCAGAAATAATGCGTGTAGCGATTTCTAGACCAACGCTGTTTGTACTTATGTTTGAGATAAACGATAAAAGCTATATTCACCATAAACTAAATGAAATTGATGAAACCGTTAAATAAATGCTATCTGAAACGTTCGCTTCTCACTGTAGGCGGTCGTTGTGTTGTACGAACGCGACCCGACAACAGACATGTTCCAGATCGGCCGAAGCAAGGAAAGCCAGATAGATTTTGTTGTTATGGATACGCCGCCCCCACAACGAACGATCATAGACGATGCTCAGCAAACGGCTCAACAGCAACAATTAGAACAGCACATAAATCGTCGTCATCAGACTCAACAGCAGCAGCCGCAGAGGAATGGTGACTTTCGTTCGGGTATTTCTCGGTACGCGTGTCGACTGCTTGTTGAAAGACAAGCTAGGAAGTGTGTTCAGCGAAACCGAAAAGTTCAGAAGAATGTTGTTGATAAGCAGAGCTCGCAAGGAATTCTTCAGGAAGATAATTTTGAGCAGAATGAGCGCCGTCTACATTCAGATAATGAAAAGTGTTCGAGCAGGGAATATTCCTCTGGGGAAGATGACGAGAATGTCGACGAATGGGTGGTTCGTGTGTTCGCCGCTGGTTTCGATTCTTCGTCAAATATATTTCTTGGTGAGAACGCTAGTGCTTGGCAAGGATCTGGTGGTGCAATTGATGGACTAACCACGAATGGCGTGTTGCTTATGCAACCGATGGGTGAATTTGGTGAGCTACCTGCTGCAGTTGATGGTAGCTCTAGTGTAGCTGGCGCAGCAGGTATCTGGCGTGAAGTGAGCGTTGCGGGCGGAGTGTACGGTTTACGGGAGAGTCGAGCTGCCCGTCGGGCTGGGCCACGTATTGCAGGTGAAAAAAATGTGCTTTACGATGGTGCCCTCATCGATCTTTGTGGGGCGACGTTGCTCTTCCGTTCGGCACGAGGCCTGCGCAACTCACCCACACGAGCCGAACTTTTGGAGCAGGTAAGCTACGCTGAAACGATTAAAATCGAACGGATTAAGATCCCTTGAAGACGATTAGTTATATTGCTTACACATTAAAGAATCTTATAACAGAGCTATCGTTTAGCCGTTATCTTTTCTAGCATCATTTTACATGTTCATATCGTTAATTTTATATTATCATATTATATAAAAATAGTTGGTTTATTGAAATTATCAGCCATATTCATTATTATTACTTGGTTCTTCGTATATTTTTCCCGTGGTAGATTTTTTGCATTTACCATGTGAACTCGCTAATCTTACAACCATCAGATTCTGGAATCGGGTTTTTTGTTGTTTGCATTAAAATATACTGACAATTGTGTTTCACATCTGTGCATTGCGTATGGTTAGGTCGCTCGGCTAAATGCGGGGCGTCCACAATGTCCGGTGGGTCTTAATACGCTTGTGGTGCCCTCTAGAGCCACGTTGTCCAACCGTGATCAGGAACGCCAACCATATGTCTATTTGCGTTGTGGCCATGTCCAAGGATTACACGCTTGGGGCAGAGCTGCCAACGGAGGTTCTAATGGCAACGGGGGTAACGGAAGCGACTGGAGGAAGTGCCCCATGTGTCTAACGTGTGGCCCTGTAGCGCGGTTAGCAATGGGAATTGAACCAGCCTTTTGCGTCGACCGAGGTCCACCTGCCTGGGCGTTTCGCCCTTGTGGACACATGGCTTCGGAGCGCACAGTAAAATATTGGGCAGCTGTGCCCACGCCACATGGCGCACACGGACTTAACGCCGTCTGCCCATTTTGCGCTGCTCGACTATGCGATCAGCCAGGTTATGTTCGACTTATCTTTCAGGATAACATTGACTAACAACGAGAACGGAATAGTGACTATACGAAACATAGCAATAGTACTGAAACTAGTTCTTAATATTACTAAAGAATAAAACTTAATTCGGTAATGTAAGTAGTTAAATATAATTGTGGTTACGGCATTACAGTAGTGCTTATGCACGAAAAAGTTCTGATCACAGCTTACCGGTAGTCTATTGCCATATCAAAAAAAGTGGGGAAAAGTTGTCGAGAAAATTATCCCTCACTTGGTGTTGATGTCTTTGCCTAATGCAACAACTGTATATAATAAACCACTATTGCAGCACGATGTAGAAACCTTCATATGTCAAAACCGGCGTCGCTTGACCTAATCTACGTGAACATACCTAAACTGCAACTGGACAAAGTTGATACATGTGAATGTTTGTTGTTGTATTGTGCTAGGGTTATTTTTGTATATTAATAATTAATGTGAAATCAAAATGTTCGTGAAAAGCCCGTGAAAGACACGTATTGGATCTTTGTTCTCCACATAGCCTTTCTTTCTCTGTGAATTCATGAACAAATCTGTGAGTCTCGTCTTTATTCTAGATTTGAAAGTTCTTGTTTTGATAATGGCTACGTATAATGTTGAAGTAATGTAAATACTTGGAAACAGAAGTTAAGTATTTTAGAACAAAATAATAATCAGGTCATACAGTCCAATTAAGAGGGAAATCGGCTCAAAGTGTAGTGAATCATACCACTGAGAAACTGGCTATGATGATGAGGAAACCGCATCACCTAGGCTATCAGTTTACTTCATCAGTAACTGCTACAGATATTTTTAAGCTTATCTAAACTGTTTGTTGAAGAAAGATTAATTAAGAAAAGATGGCACTTGGACTTTAATATTCGCGAACCGAAGACGAAGAGTACTTCTTGGGACTTACTTGCTTGCATATTTTTTTGTTTGCCACATCCGCATCGTCACCTGAGCCACCTTATGCTTATAACTGTATCGTAATTGAAAACAACATAAAATAATATGTATTAAGGTTATAATATAACACCTGACATATTTCATTACTTAAATTTATGCCGCAAATCGCTTAAGTTTCATTAGGGTATATTTTATCAGGGACAGCGAAACAGTGGCCTTTCGATCTGGACGATAAAGAGGTGAAAATTCACGCACTTTTCGTTTGGGTTGAGAGCAGATTTGACGGCAGTAAAAAGTAGAATTTGTTAGTGCCCTGTAACCCTTGTCCATAGTCATACACGCACTAATGATTTTTTTTCATGTAGTGCGGCGGATTGACAAAGATTCTTTTTTATTACTTTTATAGTTTCGTCGGTTTATAGCAAATTATGCATGTTCAACTATATATTATGGATGTGGTTAACTTAAACCAAAAGTATTTATGATAGCATTGCAATAAAAATCCAATAGTAATAATAATGATAGTGCAGCAGCGCTCTGTCTAGTTGCTTTCAGGTTCAATAAATAAACGTATCTTACATTACGCGTTGAACACCCTTTATATAAATGCTCATTACATGATAAGGCCTGAAATGCGTATGCGATTCATTGCCGTTCCTTTTTTTTTTTTATATAATCTCAATATCTCAAAACCTCGATCGATTACGTTAATTTACAAAAACGGATATTGAATCCCTTCAATGCAAGAACGAACTTCGCTGAAACCTTTTTTTCGGGCCATTCTAAAGAATGAGCGGAGCACTCTGTCGACTTCAGAATATTGGCGTCCTGACTACCTAATCTACCCGAGATAATACTTGGTAGTATGTGCCCCTATATTTTTGTTGCCTCTTAAAATCATTCAACGATCCTGTGTCTTCGCTGTTTCAGGAGACAATCCACGGAATAATTTCAATGCATTTATAATAACAAATCGAATCCCAAGATTATCGTTACTTTGTTTAACCTTATATCCGCTTTTACAAAGTAACCTATAATTCATAACATTAGGTAAATAAACGTAGATAAATAATAATGTTACCAACCACTACAAGTCAAGTAAATAGAATTCAAAAGATTTAAGTTTGGCTACATATGCGTTTACAACTGACAACGGCAAAAAATTACACTATTTATCGTAATTACCTGTCGCGGATTTTATCTTGGACAAGACAAAATATTATGGGAAAGCTTCATTCGGTGTACGCTTTGTTTAGTTAAGATCAATTGAATGCCGTGCTGTAATTGCAGGCGATGCGGAGATCCCCACTGTCTGGAACCCCTCATTTTAGTAAGGCTGGTTGCACCAATAGGTTAAAGCTTTGGAACACTGAAAAATGACCAAGATGCAAATTCATCGCGTGACACGTCCGCTGAAAAGACGTTGCTTTGACCGTAGTACTAGTTCTGTCGCGTACAATAAATTATATCATGACTGGCCTCTATTTGACATGCTTACTTAACCAACAGACGATTGGTGTTTCAAATAATTTCAACGGCGTTCTGCATAGAGTTGTTATGAACTACCTTTTAGCCGTAATATTCATAAAGCGTTGCTTTCTCGACAACGGCCCCCTATCACCCAGAACAACCCCAAATAAGACTTTCTCGAAGGGTGGAGGACATCATTGAGGACTAACCTTTCTATAGTTCTATTTTTTACAACTTTCGTATTGCGTCGCTGTCGATGATAGGCATTTAGTCTTTATATTCGCGTTTCCGTTCATCATCTAACTTCTAACAGTATGAATGAATAACGATGTTGAATATCTGTTAAAATATCCGATATGTTCTCTCTAGAGAATTCACAGCCATTGTCATAAGAAAATCATAGATTAAAGAAAGTATCGATTTTTCTAAACGGCCAATGAATTCTACTATCGTATAATAGTGAACGTCGAAAATATACTATTGGTGGTTAGCTAACACTATTAGAACTTGACCACCATATACGGTAAGGAGAAGGTGTATATAGAGTTATGGTTTGATTTATGCTTGCATTATATGATACAATTATGCAAACGCACTGAGGCTACAGAGTTATTTATGTGATGCCGTGCGCCATTAGCAAAGCAACATTCACTGTTAACCGCGAATAATACGGCCGATCAAGAACGTACGGCTAACATATCTGTTGTTTACGCAAAAATTCAAGGTTAGTTAGAGTACCCAATCGATATTATAATATCAATAGTAATAATAAATGATTTAACAACTGAAATCGAGATGAAAGCACCAGAAAGTGGTGGACGGAGACGATAATTTGATAATTGATTCTATGACAGTATAGACATAGTCAATAACTGCACCATCTATAACAAGATTTCTACAAGGACCAAAAGTGAGGACGAGGAGTGTGTAGTTACAATATAAAAACATGCGCACGTATAAGTACGGTCGCAAATTTCTTCTTTAAACTGTGATCGCCACTGACAGATACTATGCTCTTATTATTATTACTGAATGCAGACGTAATTCCATAAAAAACGTTGTTATTTTCTAGAAGAAAGCAAAAAAACGAAGTGTAGCTCCAGTGAGGAACTGACTCAATAAAAAGATGTACGTGGCTTTTTTTAGAGAAACGCTCTGTTTTCATTTCCGTTACGGCGACTCTGGTCTTTTAGGAAATCAAGTCATGAATGTCTAATATGTAGTAACAAGCTATGTTTCATAAGCTCACAGCAGGTGTTGACACAACAAAATCTCCATAAATATGTTAGGCTATTCACTAGTTATAAGTGTCCACATTCTGCCATTACTGGTCGAAGTAATAAACCTGGTTGGCGTCGAATATAGCGACCTTAACAACAAACTCACTAGTAAAGTTCCTCGAAACAGGCGAGTTCGTAAGTTTTAATTTTTATTTATTTTATTCAATGGCATTGATGAAGCCCACGCCTGATCGAACCTACTTGTGTGGAACTGCACATTGCAGAGTTACTGTGCAAAACAATGTAAATTGTACAGTTCACAACGAGAACTGGTTGCTCTACGGAACTGTTTCTTGGTTCAGTAAATCTAACTTCTATGGCTATCGGCAGCTTTGTTAGCGTTGACTGTTACCTAAATGCCTCTGTGTTTCGAGTTTTATGCCCGACAGTGCCGTAAGGCCTTTCATTAGGTCGCTGGCCGCCTCTACGCAATGATGCGTGCTGGCTCCCTGCTTATAAAGGTGCTTGTCAGTCCAAGCCACTGCGTCGACGACAAATATTTGAGGTGAAGCAAACACT